CAATAATATTATCTTTTAAAAGAGAGGCGAAGGATACCAAAGGGACATCCAAATCATAAGTCGAAAACAAACTGACAACACATGGCCAAAAAAAGAAAAAGACAGACAACAGTACACAAAACAACATAGAAAACCAAAGACTGATCAGCAACACAAAAGTTGCATTACTATCAGCACATTTCAGTTTATCAATCATTTTGAGGCCCTGCCCCCTAGTTCATGGTCCAGCAAATTTGAATAAATTATCAATATTGCTATCCATCACATTGTTTTTTTCTGAATTTTTCTGCTGACATGCGAGACATATATCTGTGTCAACAGTTTTTATAGGACCCCAAAAAAATTTTTGGGATGGTATAATGGTATGATTGCATCATCGTCCGAAGACACATTGGTTTCCAGACAATAACTTTAGTTTAAGTTAATGGATCTCTATGAAATTTTTAAAGAAGGTTCAATACCACAAAAGGAAAGTTGGGATTGATTTTGGGGATGATGGTCCCAACCGTTTAGGAATAAGGGGCCCAAAAGGGGCCATAAACAAACATTTTTCTAGGTTCAGGATAATAACTTGTGTATAAGTATTTCGATTGCTCTGAAATTGTACAATAATGTTTAATACCACAAGTAGAAGTTTGGGATTCATATTAGGGGTTATGGGGCAAACAGTTTAGGAATTAAGGGCCTAAAAGGGGCCAAAAACAACAATTTTTGTAGTTTCCGGACAATAACTTGTGTGTAAGTGTATGGATATCTCTGATATTGTACCATAAGGTTCCATATCACAAAGGGAAGGCTGGGATTGAGTTTGGGGGTAATTGCCTCAAACATGTAGGAATTAGGGACCAAAAAGGGCCAAAAACATGCATAATTCTAGTTTCCAAACAATAACTTGTGTTAGATGTGTATGGATCTCTCTGAAATGGTACTACAAGGTTCCATACTACAAAGGAAAGAATTGGATCGAGTCTTGGGGTAATTGCTCCAAGGGGGGATTCCAAAAGTCACGGGTTTAAAGAATTCATATTTTTTTCAAAAATTTTCAAATTTCAAATTTTATAAAAGTTTCAAGAAGTAATCTTCAATTGCACAGTATTGCGCAATAGATTTGTAAGATCTTTTACCACATTTATTTTGTGTCAGAAACCTATATATATTATGTCAAAAATTTGATCACATTCAAAATTCAGACAGTATCAAGCTTGAATATTATATCCAAATTTGCCCCAACTGTTCAGGGTTCGACCTCTGCGGTCGTATCAGGCTGCGCTCAGCGAAGCATTTTATTTGTCTCTCCTGCGATGAATGTCGCAGTATGCGAGACATAGGTATTACTATCCAGTGGTTGCAGCGTAAACTATTTGTATAAAGCTTTATATTTCAGAAGGTAAAAGACCTGGATGCTTCATACCTTGTATGCAGATACCTTATGTTCTGAAGTTTCCGTCTGTCATATGTCCATTGTCCTTGACCTCATTTTCATGGTTGAGCGACTGCTTGAAATTTTTTTTTATTTTTTTGTCATGTGAATTTCTCGCTTATTATGAGTAATAGGATAACTATATTTCGTATATGGGTTCCTTGCAATGTCTACATGTCTGTCAGACAGGGTTCACCTGACCTCAACCTCATTTATAGGATCAGGGATCAAGGTTAAAGTTACATGATTAGGTCCATTTCTCAGATACTATAACTAGAAGGTCAACTGTATGTGGTGTATGGAATGATTGTAAGGAGTACATGTCAGTCTGGCAGGTTTTATCTGACCTTGACCTCATTTTCATGGTTCATTGGTTAATGTTAAGTTTTTGTGTTTTGGTCTGTTTTTCAGATACTTTCAGCAATTGGTCAACTATATTTGGTGTATGGAATGATTGTAAGGTGTATATGTCTGTCTTGCAGGTATCATCTGACCTTGACCTCATTTTCATTGTTCATTGGTCAATGTTATTACTTAAGCTCTTGTGTTTTGGTCAGTTCTTCAAATTTTTAAGCTGTAGGTCAACTATCTTTGGTGTATGGAACGATTGTAAGGTGTCCATGTCAGACAGACAGTCTGTCTGGTAGGTATCATCTGACCTTGACCTCATTTTCATGGTTCATTGGTCAATGTTAAGCTTTTGTCTTTTGATCTGTTTTAGTAACCATAAGCAATAGGTCAATTATATTTGGTGTATGGAATAATTGTAAGGTGTACATGTCTGTGAGTGTCTCTCAGGATTTATCTGACCTTAATCTCATTGTCATGAATCTTAAAAAAATGTAAAGTTTATGTGATGCTTGTAGTGAAACCTTGATTTTTAAGACTTTCAACATAAAATCAATGGTCAGTAAAGCAGGAGAGACAATTCAGCATGTGCACTCTTGTTTTTATATAAGTAACAAGAATAATTTTGCAACACCTTTCTCATCCAAATACTAAAAAAATTATGGTTCATATTTCTTCAAGTCTACACTATTTGTCATAATTTATTTCTAGAAATTAAGAATCATAAACAAATTCATTGGATTTACCAAGTTATTATACCCCACACAACAAAGAAAATAAGTATAATGTTTTTGACCCGTCAGTCCGTTTGTCCATCAGTCCTGTTCTTTTCATTGCAACTCCTCGGAAACCATACAACAGAATTTCAGGAATCTTTGTAGATAATTAGAACATATTATGTAGATGTTCATATCCACAAGAATTTTTATCAGTTGACTTTTGAAGGAGTTATGAGCATCTGTATTGGTATCTGCCATATCTGCTGCTGGTATATTGTCATTACTTAAAACCATTAGATATCTTCTCAGAAACAATTTCGACATTTAAACGAAATCTTTTACTAATGATACTGGGAAGATCGTTAACTAATTTACAGTTTTTGTGGACAAACCTAAGTAAGAAATGACGACCACAAAGGAACATAAATAAAACCATACAAATAGTACATGCATGCAGGTTCTCAGATACCATCTCGCATATGAAAATCACGTCATGAAGAAATGCACCTAATGTGTTCCTCTCCTAATTTTGAGTTTTTTCTGCTATCCAAAATCAAAGTTGTGGAACATATTTTATCAGAATCATTTGGTTATCCATGCAATTAGAGTCTCCTCCATGACAGTATTGAACATTAAAACTAAATATTAAATAAACGACACTGCTAATTTTTATTGTTTGGTACAGGTAAGCTGTCACTGTGCAACACAGTTTAACATAGAACCCTATGGGGAAAAAACAGAGAACTCTTTTTGTCAGAAAACACTGTCAAACATCCAAACATTCTATCCACACTGATCTGTGTCCACACTTGTTATATAAGTAAAAAAGTTAAATATATTTTCTTTTCTTTAACTTTTCTTGACTACATTGCTGTAACTGAGTGTTTATTTGTCTGTCTTTAATAGTTATCTTTACTATTCATAAATATATAATTTCAGGGGACAATGAAAATCTCATTTGTCTGTTATCTTCAAAACACTGCTCATTTGCAATTCTCCAAGGAGCAATTTTTGAAGGTGTTGCCAATGAAACAACTCCACCCGAGACCAAATGACATAGAACTTAACAACTATAGGTCACAGTACAGCCTTCATTAATGAGCAAAAAACATACCACATAGTCACCTATAAAAGGCCCCAAATAACAAACATAAAACAATTCAAACGAGAAACAAAAATGGTCTGAAATATGTACAAAACAATGAACGAAAAACAGATATGATATATACAGCAACAAACGACAACCATTGAATTACAGCTCCTGACTTGGGACAGACACATACAGAATGTAGCAGGGTTCAACTTGTTTGCAAGTGCCCAACCCTCCCCCTAACCTAGGACAGTGGTGTAAATTTGATAGTACAAAATGTTCCCTGCATTTATTGTATATATATTACACAATTTTGTAGAAAGCCTGAGTGTAACTTTGATAAAGTGATTATTTAGTTATGCTACTTTGTACAAGCATCTAAGTTTTCATAAAAAATTATAATGCTCTTTTACATTGCTGTTTATTGATATTACTGTGAAAGTACTTTTATTCGTGGGGTACGAACTTTCGTGGTTTTCGTGGATGGCTTTATCAACGAATTTAAGTGTCCAACGAAATGTAACAACTTTTGTCCAAATCAAAACATGGAAAGATCTCCTGTAGGTTGACTACATGGATACGGGCATATACGAGAAACTATTGAATATCAGCAAACGCACTATGAACTATATGCAGTGGCGTAGTACCTGTGTAGCATGTACAACTTCGGACAGGATTTTTATTTTACAAAAAAACCTAAGCTGTACGACTTTTAACCTTTGAATTCTCATGAAAATTTAGATTTTAAAGATGAAAGTCAGACTTCCTGATATATGATGATGAAGTTTTTTCTCCTCATAATTCTCTCACGACAAAAAAAAAATCATATTGGGCTTGCTTTTTTATTTCATACGTATTATTTAATCCGTATTAGTTCAAGGTACATTTGTAGCAATTTTTATGCAACCTTTTTCTTTAATTGACATGTTTATGATCCAATTAACACCTTTGATGATCGTTAATCTTTTGATCATTCGATCTCGAGTTTATAAGTGTCACTACATCTGATTACAATACACGTGCGCAACAATTAAAATGTTTACTGTGCAATTTCCTTCAATCAAGGCAATTTGTATTCTGAGATGAATAAACTTATTTCGGAAAGCAATTATTATTTTATCAAAAATTGAATGTTGTCAGAAATGAAAGACCAACATATGTAGGTGAAAATGAACACCATATGAATAATTTCAAGAATCTTCGTTTCTGGTGGGTTTAAATTCTTATTCCAATTGTTTTTTTCTTCAGAAAACTAAAATTCCACGAATTTAAGAACCCACGAACATGTAATTTTTGCTCAATCCACGAAAATTGATACCCACGAATAAAAGTACTTTCACAGTAATTGCTTTCTTGTTTAATCACTTTAATATGGTTTTGTAATTTCAGTTGACAATAATCAGTTCTGTTTGATTATTTACAGGTTGGAGACAGAAAATTTACAGCACACAGAATAGTGTTAGCTGCTACTATACCATACTTCAATGCCATGTTCACCCATGATATGGTGGAGTCTAAACAAGATGAGATTACCATGCAAGGAATAGATCCAAATGCTTTGGAAGCCCTTGTTAATTTCGCATACAATGGAAAAGTGCAGATTGGTGTAGATAATGTACAAATACTACTAGTGGCTGCAAGTTTTTTACATCTGCAGGCTGTCAAAGAAGCTTGCTGTGACTTCTTGAAAAAAAGACTTAAACCATATAACGTTTTAGGAGTAAGAACATTTGGGGACCAGTACATGTGTACCAGTTTAGTGGAGGCTACAAATAAATACCTTCAGAAACATTTCAAAGAAATAATGAAATCTGAGGAATTTTTCAACCTCAGTCTTACTGATGTATTGGAGATCATAACAAGAGATGAGTTGAACATCGATTCTGAAGAACAAGTTTTTGAGGCAGTGATAAACTGGGTAAAACAGAACACAGAGGAGAGATGTAAGGCATTACCAGAACTGATGGTTAAAGTTAGACTACCATTACTAACACCTCATTACTTGTCTGACAGGGTAGCCACGGAAGAACTCATTAAAAACTCATTGCAATGTCGAGACCTCCTAGATGAAGCAAAAGACTACCACTTGATGCCAGAGAGGAGAACTCTTCTACAAACATTTAAAACAAGACCAAGATGTTGTTCAGACATTCCTGGCATCATCTATGCCGTAGGAGGCTTGACGTCTTCTGGATATTCCATGAACTTGGTGGAATGTTATGACCCCATTGTCAATAGATGGACAGTTGTAGAACCAATGACAACGATCAGAAGTAGAGTTGCTGTGTCTGTTCACATTGGTTGTTTGTATGCCATAGGAGGGTATGATGGAGAAGATAGATTAAATACTGTAGAAGTGTATAAACCAAGCAATAAAACATGGAAAACAGTTTGCAAAATGCATTGTAAACGAAGTGCACATGGAGCTACATCCTTAGGTAAACATGTTTATGCTTGTGGTGGCTATGATGGCGTTTCATCACTCAGAACTGTAGAAATATATGACCCAGACGCTGACAGTTGGACCATGGTAGCTAGTATGTTAAAACACAGAAGTGCTGCAGGTGTTGCCTGTCTTGATGGAGAAATATTTGCATGTGGCGGTCATGATGGATTATCAATTTTTGATTCAGTGGAGTGCTACAATCCTTCCACCAATACTTGGAGGTACATACCTAACATGTTAACAAAACGATGTCGTCTCGGTGTAGCTACATTAAATGGGAAACTGTATGTGGCTGGTGGATATGATGGATCTATCTTTTTAAATAGCGTTGAATGTTACGATCCTCAGAAAAACGAATGGGCTTATGTTAAACCACTGCAGATAAGAAGAAGTCGTGTTGCTATGGTAGCTTCATATGGAAAACTATTTGCAATTGGTGGATATGATGGTATTGTTCAGTTAACTACAGTGGAATGTTATGAGCCCGACAAGGATGAATGGAAATCATTACAGCCTATGTGTGCTCATGAAGGTGGAGTTGGTGTAGGAGTACTTCCCATTGACTTAGATTCTTAATCTGTTTAGTGTAGATGAAAATACTTGAAATGTACGAAAATAAGAACTAGATATGGCAAAACCCATGTTATGCTACATATGAAACCCAAAAATGAATTTGGATCAAAATACACAAAAGAAAAGTATAGGAGTTGCATGAAGGAAAGTTTAATTGAAATTGAAATTACAAAAATTTTCTAGCTTAAACATGTTTAAGTACCTTTAATTTGATATTCATTCCCTTGGTTATTAGTACCAGGTTATGTGTACATTTAAATAGTAAATTTTCTTTATGAATATAAAATGTTGGGTATTCATCAATGAAACAGCAAATAAAGACACAAAATACCTAAAGAATCTAGCCTTGTTCATCTGTCTGCTCTTCATATGTGTAACTCCTCACAGAGCAGTGACAGGATTTTATGAGACTCTCTGGATGATGGTATTTTAATTTTTTATCCTAATGATTTAGATGGTTTCTGATAGCAGCAAAACATGGACATTTGCCATATCTTCACAAAAGGTGTAATTAGTGTATGAATTTTGTGTTTTTGAAGTTCATATTATTTTCACCAGATAGTTGCAATATGAATACTTCTTGCAATATTTTTTTTCACTGTAGAGGTTGGTCTGTATGTGATATTTATTTTTTTTTTGTGGTTAAAATAGCAAAATTGTGATAATACATATATATATAACATGTACATTTATTATGATCATTTCTCAAATTCTAGTCTTAATATATTCAGAATCATATAGAATTTAGAAAAAGTAAGTTACCAATAAGAATGGCCAGACATTAAATGATTTAATAAACAATGATTAATGTCTCACAGATACAAATTATAAAAGTTCATTCAACATAAACTTTCATAAATCCATAGAATTAACTGTTCTTAAAAGTTCCTTTTGTGATTGAAATAACAGTAGTATTAATGGTATAAATATGTATAATGTGAGTAAAAGTGCATTCATTTAAATTGAATGATTTAGAATTCTGCAGAGTTTGGAATTCAATCGATTTGCCTTACAAATGACTTAAACATCAAGAATTCATTTCCATTTTATGATAAGTGTCAATGTTAAAAGTGCAATCTGTGGATGACCTTAATTATTGTACATTTTGTGTTTAGTTTTGAATTTTATTATACTAATTTTAATTACCCAAAAAAACCTGTTTCAGTATTCTCCCAAGCAGTCTATACGCTCAACCACAGGGCAAGCAGCCCAGGCTTATTAAATTACTATCAGGCCTGCAAGATTTTCTACTACAAGCTAATAAAAAACTTCACAAAATTTTCCAAGAAAAAGAGTGTCTGGCTTGGGGTTGCAAAAGTTTATCCCGAAGACTGCCTAAGTATTTTCAAATAGCACAGTTTCCCCTGAAATTATAGCACTACATTTACAATACATTCTGTTATAAAATCTATTCAGATAGACCAAACCATCATCATGATAATACATATAGCACTACAGTACCATGGTGTTGTATGGTCCTGGGGAGAACACTGTAGCATAATTCTTAGAAATACCTTTATAACCTGTGAATTCAAGGTGAATTTGATGTAATATGTACATGTATGTTCTATATTTGTTTGATTAAAAGATGGGACCAGTTACCATATGTTTAATATTGGTATTTATTATTAAGGGCCATGGGACAGAGCTAGAGGTTGAATATAATAATGAAATTCATGATTGGAAGACTTGTTAACTTAATTTCATTCTTGAATGACCTGAATGTTAATCTTTTAACATTTTTTCGTGATGGACCATCAAAAATGGCACATTGTTGCATTTACAGAGATGGCAGGTCAACATTGCATTAAATATTTGAAATTGATACATTTATTGGTTTCTTCTAGACTAAACAAATGGTATTTAAGACCAGGAGAAAATACATGTACCATTGGTCAAATTTTATAATAGGATTGGACATGTCTTCCTTTGGACTGTAAGTACAAGTTAGCATACCAGCATACCGTTTGGTAAGCTTTGCACTGTCATGTGTCTAGCTTTTAAAGTCTTTGTTTAAAACTATTCGTCTGGAACAATAATGGAATATTCTATTATCTTCTTTTTCAGTTGTGGGCCTCGGTGGCCAAGTGGTATTATTGTAATCACTAGCCAGTCAACACTGAGGTTGTTAGTTCGAACCCCGCTCGTGCCGGTGCACTCGACTCCAATCTTAATTGACTAAGATTGTCAGTGTTCCTATCGAAGGTCATGGTTTTCTCCGGCTTCCTCCACCAATAAAAACCGGCCGCCATGAAATAGCCCAAATGTGGCGTTAAAACACCAACAATCAATCAATCTTTTTCAGTCAACATTGATCAAAAGATTTGTCACCTTTTTTACATTTAAGCCACTTGGATATTTCTGTTTTGTACATTTCTCTTATTTAGCAGTATATTTCTGTAGATTTTGATAACTAGGGTATCTGTAAATTGTCTGAGTGATTCTGGTCGAGGTATATTGTTTTAGAACATCATGAATGATATTGTAACCAGGGTTGTTTAGGGCAGTATTCCTATACTCGAAGAATCATAGACATTAACCTTGTCACAAAAAAAATAATGATCATCAAACCCTGCATTCGTGGTCAAGGCCTCGTTGACCTGTTGGCTGGACATGTACACCTTTCAATGTTTGTTTAGGTATGTTTTATAGCCATTAATATAAAGAACACCTATAAATCACAAAATTTTGAACCCCCTGTTGCATTTTACTTTCAAATTTTTTTTCATGCGGACAACAAACACGCACAGGTCACAGAATATGAGACAGAGGGAGGTCAACTGGAACATTTATCCCTCTCTCATCAATGGACCTTGAAAATCAGGTTGATGTCAGTTCGACTTCAAAATAAGATGTTACCTTACAACAATTCAATGCACCAACGCAGTTTGTCTTTTAAGTCATAGAAATTGAAAGATATGTGATATAAAATATAGCCATTGAACCATAAAAATAAGGTCAAGGACAAAGAACTTATGTCATAGTAAACTACATTTTAAGACATCTGTATACAAAATAGACTATCCAGCTTTTCTTCCTTCTGAAATATAAAAGAACAGAGTTCCAATGTCCCTGTGTTGCATATATTTCATCTGTCCAAGGGTAACAACTAAAAAAGATCTTTAAAATTTTTTATATATGTCTTAGAGAAATGTACCGGTAGGCTTGAGAGCACCTAAGATGCAATTCTCCGGAAAATTAACATTTCCAAGGAGCCTAATTCTGTTAAAAAAAAGTTGATCTGCACTGATTTTTGAACATATCTGAAAAATTGCTGATATAAACCTTTGATATAAATTTCATAACTATCTGGCAAGAGTTGTACATGCAAGAGTGATTGCTTGACCGGACCGACAGACACATGGATGCACATCCTGAACTTCAATATCTGCCACAATGTGTTGCGCGGTAGACAAAAAAGACTAGTAACAATAATTTATGTTGCTGCAGTGTTCATCCCATAATAATACCATCTTATTTCTAAAATTTTTAGCATCACATCCACAACAATAAATAAGAACAATGATGTACACGTTGTCATGCTAAGCATACTCAAGTATATGCAAACATAAATTACATGTAGGTGCAACAGTTCCCAGGAGTGCTCACATTACAACTGATCACTACTAAGCTGCTGATAATATGAGGTCATTCTGTTCTTAAGTTTCTCAGATAAGTGTTACAAAAATATTTGTTTATATTTGAACATATTTTTATAGTAAAGTATCAGTAAACAGGAAATAGGTGTCTGAAAAGTGCTAGTGTTAACATGTCAAACTCATCACTGTCAAGCTACTGACCAAAAATGAAGTCAATTTATTCAATAGTGCACGAGAAATGTGTGACGAACCGAGTATCAGCACACAGAAAGTAGGAATCAACAATCGAAAAATGCTCACAAGTTACAACTCATCAATGTCAAGCTGTTGACTAGCTGCGTAACTGTAGCTCTTAGGTCCTTAAGATATTTCTTCACAATTTGCAAAGAGCTACGGTTCCGCAGTTAGCTGTTGACCAAATTTGAAGTCATTCTATTCAGTAGTACATGAGAAAAGTGTGACAGAAATATTTGTTGGACAAACAGAGGGACATATAAGGTGAATTTAATACAGCCCTTACTCCTAGAGAGGGGTTTGATATTCATTATGGTATATATCAGTGTTCCAGCTAGGATTTCAAAAGGGCAGGGAGCCAATCATGAAAAGGGCACTTTAGCACGATGATTGATATTTCAAAAAGGGCATGTCAAACATTGTCTTATGTTAACTGCAGGGGTTTCAGCTAGGAGTTTTTAGGGGGTTTAGTCACTTTTACGCTAGATGAAAATCAACCTTATTTTGGGTAACAGTATTAAAGGAACCATGCAAGGAAGTATATTACTAGCTCAGTCTTCCCTAGAACATTTTTGATGCATGGTAGGTCTAAGGTTAAGTTGCAATGCAGAGCACAGCGGCGTTTTGAAGAATTATTTTTATTTCATTAGTGAAATGAATTGTGCATGTCGGTTAAAATACTACACTAGATCTGCAATACAGTCAGGAACAATACCTTACATTTTCTCCAGGGGCTAACCTGGATCCCAAAACTTTTTTCCAAGGGCCCAGTAGAAATTTTAAGGCCCTACCAGGGTATTTTTACTACAGGTACATACTTATTAATAGTCTTGAATGTTCTTATAAAGGCCATTATATATGTTTGAAATGCCTAATACATGTAGCCCAGTGTTTCTGATTATGATAGAAATAATAAATGAATTATAATAAACCATATTGAGTTTTTCAGAATTAAAATCCATTTAACCATGTCTTTTCAGACTGTTAAACTTATATTTGTAATATTATATATAAATAAAATGCTCCGCAGGGCGCAGCTTGATACGACCGCAGAGGTCGAACCCTGAACAGTTTGGGGCAAGTATGGACACAACATTCAAGCTTGATACAGCTCTGAATTTGGATTGTGATTAAATATTTGACACAGCATAGGTTTCTGACACAGAATGAATGTGGTCTAAGAACTTAAAAATTTTAAATTGGACATTCACCTATTATGGTCCAATATCCAAAATCTAAATACATGGTTAGAACCCCAAGAATTCAATTTTTGATGAAATCAAACAAAGTTTAATTTTGGACCCTTTTGACCTCAATGTGGACAAAGTTGATAACGGGGCCCAAAAATCAAAAATCTAAATACATGGTTAGATTCAGCATATCAAAGAACCCCATATATTCAATTTTTGTTGAAATCAAACAAAGTTTAATTTTGAACCCTGATTTGGACCAACTTGAAAACTGGGCCCATAATCAATCAAAGAGCTGAAAGCTCTGAGGAAAAATGACGCCACTGTCTCTAATATTGTGATATTTTTTATGCAAGTCTTGATTTTCACATACCGTATAATAAGTTTAACATTGCAACATGTCTCGTAAGCATATAATTGATATTCGTATATGTGTCTGTTTTTTTCAGTACAAATGAATAGGTCAAGACTACCTGAATGATCTAAAGTATCCAATTACTACTGGCTGTTTTTTTGTATAAATAAATAGGCCAAGACTACCGGAATGGTCTACAATATCCAATGACTACTGGCTGTTCTTTTGTACTAATAAAAAGGTCAAGACTATTTGAATGATCTACAATATCCAATGCCTACTGGCTGTTCTTTTGTACTAATAAAAAGGTCAAGACTATTTGAATGATCTACAATATCCAATGACTACTGGCTGTTCTTTTGTACATACGGTATAAATAAAGACTACCTGAATGATCTAAAGTATTCTAAGTAATGTGATTTTTTTCTTGCAATTACATTTTTCTAAATAAGAATATAGACTACTAGTATCCCTTTCAAACTAAATGATTATGAAGAGCCTGTTGTTAGCAAGCTCTTATACCCCACATACTCATTAAATAAGTTACTAGTGACCTAGTTATTTCTGTTACTTGAAGCAAATTATATTTCTGTATATTTAGACAATAGTATAATATTGTTTTACTAGTTTTATTTCACCTTGAAGATTAGACAAATAGGGATACTCCTTCGATTTTTTATTTCATGTCAGTCAGGTCGCTTTATATAAAACTTGAAACCACTTCTCTGCCATATTGTTATTTTATAACAATTCTGCCTTGACCATGTTGACCCATGTAATTGATATTCATTCTTTAACCAAATATCATAGTCAGTTAGTTTTTGATTTTGCACTCCCACACCACCTTCCATGTCTTTCAGGTCAAATGTCTGTCTCCATTTAAGTTAATGACATTGAACAATCATGGTATTAAACACAATTTCAATAGTGATAATGCTGTTCTCGTGGGTCACCATATATTCAACTTGGGTAGCATTCCAGTTATTGAAATTTGTGTCAGATTAGAACAATGATCTAGATCTTTAGGAATGGATCTTATAATTTAACATGGAGCCATAGTATGGGACCCCTACACGGTAACAAAAAAAAACAAGCTTGAAAGGATACAATGTCAAGCGGCAAAATCTACCACCAGAGATTACAAGTCAAAAGAGGATGGACGGGATACGTCTCTAAAATGCTTGCTGAACTGGAACTACAGCAAGATCTCCAGACAAGACGAACAAAGCGTTGAA